GCACTGCATTGCAACTCTACTACCATCATGGGTGTGTAATATTTGTACAACTACATCACGCATACTCTCAATCATATCCTGTAAAACAAATCAGGTAATGAGTAATACAACATGGCGGTACATATGTTATAACAACACGGGAGTGGCTATTTTAAACCGAGTGAGTTGGTCATTTCAAACATAGCGAGTTGGTCATTTCAAACCTTGCGAGTTGGCCATTTCAAACCTTGCGAGTTGGTCATTTCAAACCTTGCGAGTTGGTCATTTTAAACATAGTGAGTTGGTCATTTCAAACATAGCGAGTTGGTCATTTCAAACATAACGAGTTGGTCATTTCAAACCTAGCGAGTTGGTCATTTCAAACCTAGCGAGTTGGTCATTTCAAACATAGCGAGTTGGTCATTTCAAACATAGCGAGTTGGCCATTTCAAACCTTGCGAGTTGGTCATTTCAAACCTTGCGAGTTGGTCATTTCAAACATAGCGAGTTGGTCATTTCAAACATAGCGAGTTGGTCATTTCAAACATTGTGAGTTGGTCATTTCAAACCTTGCGAGATGGTCATTTCAAACTTGCGAGATGGTCATTTCAAACATAGTGAGTTGGTCATTTCAAACATAGCGAGTTGGTCATTTCAAACATAGCGAGTTGGTCATTTCAAACATAGCGAGTTGGTCATTTCAAACATAGCGAGTTGGTCATTTCAAACATAGTGAGTTGGTCATTTCAAACCTAGCGAGTTGGTCATTTCAAACATAGTGAGTTGGTCATTTCAAACATAGCGAGTTGGCCATTTCAAACCTTGCGAGTTGGTCATTTCAAACCATGCGAGTTGGTCATTTCAAACATAGCGAGTTGGTCATTTCAAACATAGCGAGTTGGTCATTTCAAACCTAGCGAGTTGGTCATTTCAAACCTAGCGAGTTGGTCATTTCAAACCTTGCGAGTTGGTCATTTCAAACCTAGCGAGTTGGTCATTTCAAACCTTGCGAGTTGGTCATTTCAAACCTAGCGAGTTGGCCATTTCAAACCTTGCGAGTTGACCATTTCAAACCGAGTGAGTTGGCCATTTCAAACTCAGCGGATCAACCTGGATGGATGATCACTTCAAATCAAAATAAATGACAGATTGATAACTATGGCAAGTGTGTTTATAATTTTATCCAAGATCCAAGTCCACTGTGACAATTAATTAAAGTCACAATTAATCAATTGATAATAACAGACAATTCCACATTTACTCACTGTTTTGGATTTTATTTCTGCAAATATAAAATAGTCCATCAGTGCTTTGTGGACAATGCTGTGTTTTATCACTGACCTGAAAATAAACAAACATGTTACTTTTAAATGGTTTCAGATCGTGGGTATATAGGGGAGTATGTACATGATAGTGGGTATATATGAGATACCCCAGGTAGTCGGTATATACCAGATGGTTGGCGTCTATGGGTAGTTGTCCATGTGGTAGTTGGTGTCTATGAAACAGTGTGGGTATCCATGGGATAATGCATATATATGGGATAGTGTTATCTACTGGATGGTGGGTATCCATGGGATAATGTATGGGATATTTGTATCTTTGGGATAATGGGTATATATGTGTGGTAGTTGGTATCTATGGGATAATTGGTAGGCCTAAATGATTCAAGGCTGAAAAGATATACACATCACTTACTTTTCAAGTAATGGTGTTAATGCATGTTTCATATTCTCTAGAATTGGTCTCTTCTTGCCAGGATTTTCCTTTAGTATTTGCTCCAATGTTAAATTATTTTGTGTCTGTAAAAAAAGTATTGAAAATTAGTATTTTGAGTGGAGTATATAAAAACAATCAATTCATACTACATGTTTTAATTTAAGGCCATCAACCTTATCAAACTGCTTAATTAACATTTAATTTTTTTAGTCCATATTCAGTTTTACAAGATAACATGAGGAATCACTGAATAAATGTTGAATGGGAGCACACACACACAAACAAGCACAAAACATTTATTGCACTGTAAAATAGTTTTCGCGACAGAATTCCACAGTCTGTTAAAATTACCTCAAATAATAATTTTAGATTTTTGCAATTAATTCTTACCTTAAAAACTGCGTATGTTGGTCCATAAAACTCCTCCAACAATGATATTCTCTGACTGGCATTGGCATGGTTATTATACGCAGATTCCAAGATTTCACTGGATTCTGAGTGAGCAACTAACTTAGCAACTTTTCCATAAAAACTTTTTATAATAAAGTCTCTTTGCTCTTTTGTTCCATATTTTAACATTTTCAATACATAAAATTTACTGTATTTGTTTTTGCTGAGGTCCAACATCAAATCTGAAGTGATAGAAAATTTTACAAATTATACTTAATTTGAGAGAATGGGACAGCAATGGAACAGCTCTGAGGAATTATTTGGGAGAGAGAAAGAGGAAGTAACTTATAGCTATAATTGTATCAATGCTTTTAAAATTTGAATACAATACAGGAAGGTCCTATTACAATATTCATGTGCAAATACACAATAGACTTGTGGGAAATAGTGCCGACTAGTGAATCGAACAAATAAATAAAACAATGTTTTCATGATCATGCTTTTCTAACTTTGTTTCTAGAATCTTGCTTGAATCTCAATTTGTTCTATGTTCAGTTGCTGTTGTACTGAATAAAGTTGTTATATTTGAACTCTCTTCAAGACCTGTTGTATGTTGTGCTTAGAAAATCCTGCACCACACAAGAAAGTTGTTGATAACAAATTGCATAACTGAAAAAATCTACTAAGCAATCTGATTGGTGGAGAACACAGAAAAGAAAATATTTATAGTCGTACATTACAGTCTCTAAAATAGCTGCTTGGGAAATTTGCATTGAAATATATGATCTGATATTAAGACTTGTGAACATATATGATTATATCATAACAAGTTTAATAAGTTTGGTACTTTCAGAGAAGTATTGTTGCCCCCCCCCCCCCCACCAATAACTAGTACCAGTAAAAAATGAAACAGAAAAAAATGACAAAACTGTATGTAGTTAGTGAAGCATGTAATAAGCATGCAACTAATGTTACAGTTCCTAGACAATTAATGATAAAAGTTTCCTCACCTTTAACTTCTTCAAATATAGCATTTCTTTGTTCAACTGAACCAAACTGTATACAACATTGTAATACACGCACTGTGTCATGGGCAAAGGCCAACTAGTTAAAGAAAAACAATAATTATTTAGTTTTCAATTTAAGGCATTTTAAAAAATGAGTGTTTGTTTCATTATTGAAATCTACTATGAGACAATATTACTGACAAGAGGCAACCATCCAACTAGTAATGAATGTGACCTAGTACAATTAAACATGACTAATTTTCTGAGTTTTGAAGCATTATTGATGTTTGTTGGTTCATTCAGCATATTAGTATATTACCAGTGGTCAGCATACATGAAGACATTACATCGACGCAATTGCATACAGTCTGAGTGCATACTTTAAGGTATCCTTGTAATAACCTTATTATTATACATCTTCTCCTCCCAATGATACATCATGGAAATGACGAAATCCAACAAGTTTAGAACTAATTTAGCGAACTTCTTTGTGTGAAGTCCAGTCAAAACATATGGCAGCCATATTTGTTTTTATTATTAGAGGACGCTTATGCGCGTAATCTTTCCATATTTGGAATTCGCATTTCCTAATATAGTAGGCTGAAACTACTTTGTAAAATACTGCCAAATTATGGCACGCTGTAACTTGTAGCGTTACGGTGACAGATGTATAATAATAGTATATATTAGGAGTGAGCATACTACCGGGGGGGGGGGGGTATTTTCGTTCAACGTAATTGCAATATTTTTTTGTTCGTACAACGTAAATAGAAAAAATAAATTTCGTAATCACAGGCTAGACGTATAACGTAATCAATCAAATATTTTTTTCGTACACTGTAAAAATGTGTAATTTTTCTCAGTACGTAGAAGAATTTACATCCAAACAAGCCATGCATGGCACAGTCCCCGTTAGTTATCAATTTAGGATATATAGTTATGTTTATAGTAATATAGCTGGAATATAACCATGTCAGGAATATGATTTTTTAACATTAAAATGATTGACATTTGTATCTGATCGTCAAACAAGTACTTGTCCATATTGAGAGATATTGCTCTGGAACAGCATTCAAAATCAGCCATTTTGAATACATGTATAACGAATATCTAAAATTTGAATATAATCAGTCAAAGCATTTAAGAGATATGGCTCTAGAAGCCCAATCATTGAAACAAAATGGCCGCCAGTCAGCTATTTTGATTCCAATCTGAAAAATAAAATGACATGCATCAGGAACCTGTAATGTCTAACCTGTGTTATAAGTTTGAACAAAATCCATCCATAAATGCAAGAAATGCTTAGTATTCGAGGATTTTTTCAGCACAAAAATAGCACACTTTGAAAAAGTATATCTGTGACATGATGTATAATGAATATTAAAAATTTGAACATAATCAGACAAAACTAGTCAGACATATGGGTCTGGAAACCCATTCATTAAAACAAAATGGACGCCAGACAGCCATTTTGAATCTGATCTGAAAAATAAAATGACGTGCATCAGGAACCCATAATGTCTAATGTATGTACCAAGTTTGAACGAAATCCATCCATAAATGTCAGAAATGCTTGATATTTGATGATTTTTTAGTACAAAAATGACAACCATTCGGCCATTTTGAATAGGATCGTCAAACCAATATATCTATGACATGATGTATAATGAATATTTAAAATTTGAACATAATCAGTCAAAACAAGTTGGAGATATGGCACGAGAACCACATTGATTAATACAAAATGACCACCAGTCGGCCATTTTGAATATTATCTGAAAAACAAAATTATTTGCATCAAGGTCCCATAATGTCTAATGTATATACCAAGTTTGAGCAAAATACATTTGTAAACAGAAATGGTTGCTTTTTATGATTTTTTAGCACAAAAATGGCCGCCATTCGGCCATCTTGAATCAGATCGTAAAACAAAATGATGTGCATCAAGGTCCTATAATGTCCAACGTATATACAAGGTTTGAACAAAATCCATCTGTAAACAACCGGGAAATGCTCGATTTTGATGATTTTTAGCACAAAAATGGCCGCCATTCTGCCATCTTGAATCAGATCATGAAACAAATTGACGTGCATATGTATATTATGTATGACGTATGTGTAAAGTTTGATTGTGATTGGTCCAGGCATTACTAAGATACAGGTCCGGACACACGCACGGAGGTCAAAACATAGGTCCCCGTTTTCGGACTGCGTCCGAACGGGGACTAATAAAAAAATCGTAAAAAATAATGCAGGGAAATTACATTTTAGAAACTGTAAAATGACTAGATGACACAATTTACTACAAAATTGAATGTCAAGACGTAAAAGACCCTCTATCCGAATGAAGAGCATTACGAGGGTAATATTCGTATGCATCTCTACACACGGCGCAGTAATGGCGGAGAATTTGAGTCGGAGAGCTCTTCAGACCATTCAATGTTCCATTTTTTAACACTGTAAACTGTAAAAACGTCTTTTTTTTCCCTTGTAAATTGTAAAAAACCCTTTTTAATTCCTGTAAAACCATACCAGCTACCCCCCCCCCCCCCTTGCCTCCCCCCTCTACCAGTGGTCATGGCACAGTACAGGGGCAAACCCAGCTATACTTGATACAAGAGTGATGTGTACAGAGACAGGAACTGATTAGATAGCCATGAACCTGAATAGCAAGCTGAGTGTGTATCCAATCATCAGTCTCTGTAGTACTAGGCAAACTTACAAACAATTAAGCCACACAAAAGTACATTTTGCCTATCAAACTAGTTGTTCTCTTACCTCAGAAACTTTTCCTTGTACCATTTTATACAATTCTGCGATTAACTTTCGTCTTGTTTCCTTTGAGCAGTTGTGCCTGTGTAAGTATCTCATTAATTTTAGTTTGATCATAGACCATAGAATATATATTAAGGTCTATGGTTTAATACAACTCCTATGTAGTTGCAGGGTACAAAAAATAATTTGGACTTATTTAGTAATTTACATTTATGAGATAAACAGCAAGTTCTCTCTTAAATATGTGATGTTGGTAATTTTACCTAACCTATGACCTTAGGTCTATGACCTAACCAAATTCTTCCAGGTTTTCTTAAATATTCAATTAATAGAAATTTTGATATTTGTAAAGAAAAATACACAAGACAATTATATTTGAGTCGTATATACTTACCTTCTTAGTGTCTCCCAAATTTCCTTAGCTCGTTTTGATAATTCATAATTATTTTTCAACTTTCTTCTCTGCACTTTTTTCTCTTTTTTTGTCATTTTATGCAGTTTGTCAGATTCTTCTGTACCTGCAAACAGCCATATCAAAAATAGTTTAGAATAAATACAGTTG